ATTAAAAAAACTACTTTACTTCAATTATCTAGATTTTTAAAGTGTTTTCTCCAGTAATTGTTCTAATAATTGGCTCCAATTCTACAATGCTTCTTTGACTTCCATTCTCTTTAATTCCATCTCTTCTCCCCAAAACTAGAGATGTATTTGCTGTATGACATCACATTTAATTGTCACAGTGGCATACAAACACATACTATTTGCACACACACATCCATATTACTACACTTAGTTATTTACAATGATAATATTAAGCATATACTCACCAAATATTAACTTCATTTGGTTCTTTGTAGCCAATTAAATATTAACTGTTTTAAGACTACATTTCTCTTCTGTCTCTACAGGTAAAAATATTCACCCATTCTCCCCCCATTTTAGTTAACTTCGGCTTTTGCTTTAGTAGAAATGCAAACCACATTATAGGCAATTTTGAAAAACTGACTCACAGTTGACTGAGGCAATGCATCTTCACACAACTATGGCCAGAAAATGGTCCTCCATCTTGATACTAAAGGGCAGCTTAGGCTGCCTCAAGGCCAGGGATCACAGTACAGAACAATGGCACTAAAAGAGTTCCCTCTAGTCCCTGATTCACATGCAAGTGAGGTGCCAATCAAGTGCTGACAAGCATGAAGAAACCAAAATCAAAAGTGGATAGAGATACACTTTAAAAAGGGGCAGTTTTCACACATTTCTTAAGTGAATTGGGGCCATTTGTTTGTGAAAACACCATGGAGGGGGAAAACCTGATGAAACTGATAAAGAAAAGCCTCATTTTAGGTTATTTGAGCCACTTCATCCCCGCACCCCCACTCCCAGTTTAGGATTTAAAGCAGGATCAGGTAAATTTCATAATATCTGAAGGTCCTCATCTGGCTAAGAAAAAATACAGGTATTAATTCATTTAGAGAGCTTCTGAGATGGCATATGAGCCTTAACTTTTCTATTAATTTATTTCTTTAAACTGAGAATGCCTTCAGGTTATTTGATTTTGTTAAACTGACCAGTTTATTGCTAAGAAGAGGGCGGGGCACCCAGAAACAGCAAACAAGGAAGCAACAGGGGGCTGCTCCATCAGATGTGTCTAAGACAGAGATAAAGTATAACAATTGTATTGGCTTCTACTTAATGAAAGCTAATTTCTGCCAAATGAACATCTATTTTCAACCTCTAACACAAGGGAAAAGCTACTTGTAAAGGCAATAGATGCCTTCCAATTAATTCAGAAATTGTTGTGCTTATGTGGTATAATTTATTCCTATAACAATTTATTTTTCCAAGACAAAAATACTTTCTACTGCAGAACATCCTAGGCAAAAACACAGCACTAATTATGGTGAACATTTTCACTATGTATGAAACTGACTTCCCAAATCAAAAAATCATGGCTTTTGAACTACTTCAAGATAGCTTTTTTTTTTTAATTAAAAGATTACATTTAGGCATTATCTGAGAATTCGGAAAAGAACAGAAGAGTTAGGTTGAGAGTTGTCAGTACACTATGATTTAAGGTTTATCATTATCTTTTGGCTAATAGTTTGCCTCCTTGCCTTTGAAGACCTAATTAGACTGGAAAGAGAATTGGATTCTCTCCCTGAGCTGTCTAATCAACAGTCATTTTCACTAACAGCACTAAAAGTTTTAGGAATTTGAATTTAGGAATGTGGAATGTGAGTAGTTGATACCTGGAGAGAAGAAAAACATTGAGTGGCATACTTTCTACCTCAATTTTTTATTATAGTAAACTGCATAAAGTTTTATGAGCTTGGAGCTGAACAAGCACCATAATTTACCATCACAAATGGAATGCTGCTTTTGAAAATAAATCTTGAGCCACAATTTACTCTGTTTTAGGGAAATTCTACATCATGAGGTAAGATATGTTCATGAAAAATTTCACTTTTCAAAAGCAGAAATTAGGAAAAAGCAGTAAGATCCACGGTTATGATTAGTGCTCTCTATTTAAAAAGCAATTCACCTTTAGGCATCTATTACCTGACCATTTATTTTTACACTACACTTAAATGCAATTTTGGTTAGGAAATGGAAAGATGGATTTTAGCAATAGGTCTATTAGTACCTGTAATTCAAATTATAAACAATATAACTAATTACGTTTATGTTGAAACTTTGCTTTGTATATGTTTTAAATCACTTTTAATAATTTCAGTTGCAATCCACAGTCTAGAAAGGTAAGGGAAATGTGCACTTACGCAGCATGAGCAGGAGAGCTTCCATGTATTCAGACATTAAACCATAAATGTACATTGTATTTCATAAGGAATGTGCATATATCTAGACATAAAAGCTTTAGCCATGAGTAAAATTCTACACACTTAAAAATCTTTCATAGCACTATTTTCTTAAGAAAGGCATAGTTTAATAGTCATAGCGATTTATGGTCTAATTTTGTTGGTAAGCTACAAAGTCAAATATCTAACACAAGCCCCAAGAACATTTATATTGCAATGTTCAAGACTCATTTTATTCCACAAATGCAACCTCAAAATTTGAATCTATGTAAAGGAATTTCCTACAGTATCCTACACATTAAAAACAAAGCAAAACAAAAGAAAACCAAAACACCCACAGGATAAAAAATATATTCCAAAGCTCCAAATGTAGTGACTTTGCTCTTATTGATATTGAGAAAATAAAACAATACTAATTTATTTTTTACACAAGAGTTTTTTAGTTTAAAACTCTTTAAACTATTATTAGTTATTTAGGGGGCACATTCTTTCACAAAACAGAGCATTCTATTCCGTTATTACTAGGATTCATTTCTTTAGCCCCATGCCAAAGTTAGGCTGCTTTAAAACACACACAGATTAAATTGGGATGGTCATCATTAAAATTTTTAAAAGATAAACAAGGCATATTTCATTAAATATACTTCTCAGCCTTCATTTTGCATGACAGATATGTGATGTGCCAGTGGTTATATTATATTCGTCCTCCCATGCATGCACCTCCTGCCGAGACAGCAGACTACAGAAGCTGACCCTTACTGAGACCATCTTGTCTCTTTGACAAAGCTCCTTTTTAACTTCTTACTTACTGGTTACTTCCTGTGATGGAGAAAAACTTTAGCTCAGCTTGTGATAATTTCACAGGCCCTGAGGACCCTGACCTAATAGCCTCAAGGTCAAAAGTCAAGTCTTGTTCTGAAACATCTGTGTGCTTTATATTAAAGTAGAACAAAAGTAGAGAAATATCCACCAGTGCGACGAGAGAGACAGGAAAAATAAGAATGACACACTCATCATCTGTTACCCTTGCCATGTCAGGTTGTTATTTAAAATTTGTCCCAAATAAACTAAATTTAGAAATAATCTTCACAAAGGAGTTTGTTTTCTTTAAAAGTCTTAAGATTACCTTGAATACAAACAAAACTATTTAAAATGAGAATTCAAGGGTTTTTTTTGTTTTGGGTTTTTTTTTTTGAGATTTGGATGTTTTATTAATTTTGCAGGTTCACGTGGATATGTTATCTACAATTAAGTAGAATGTTGTGGTCTTAGTACTATACTTAAAAACTGACAGCCAGCCTATAAAAAGGAAAGAAAAGGAATATAAAATTTGTACTAAACATCACATGAACCATTTGAAAATATAAGCAAAAGATGTGTTTTTTTTAAAGTTTAATGTTGCATGTGTCAATAAATTTGTTATAATGCACAGATTTGGGACACTAAAGGGTACTTAGAAATAAACAGTAATTTAAATAATTTTGGGAAATAACATGTAAAATTATTGTAGTCATCTTTAAGTTTAATATTTGTGTAAACAGGTCAAATAATCTCATTCGCAGATATCAGCTCTTTTACTGCTAAAGAGTATGAGAAATTACAATAAGGAAGGTGATAAGGCAACTGGAATTTAATTTCCAAATAATTAAAAATTCACAAAGTCCACATTCATTTAAATTTAGCCCCCAATACATTCTAAACTTTTAAATACATATCTATATTTGTGGGGGGAAAACTCATAAATTAATCAATAACTATTATATATTATAACACTTTTTAAAGATCAAAATTCACTGATATAGACATTAATGTTGCATTAGTATAAGTTTTTAGTAGTGACATTATTTTAAATATATGCATCTAAAAAGATTATGCCACATCCAGCATAAAACTGGCCCTCATAACATTTCAACACTGGACATAATTTTATAAAATGTTTTTACACAGTACATGATACCTTTAACACAGTAGATAATACCAAAAGAATCAGATCATTTTTAATGCAAAAAATATTATGACCAATTTTCACAGGCCCATTGTAATTCCAGCAAAGATGATTCAATCCAATTATTTTAATATGTTTAATATCTTTGGATTCTGATTAATTTGAAGAGAAATGACCAATTAGCTCTGAAATCCTATTAGTCTATAAAGATTATTAAACATTTATCAATATTCAAAGGGTCTTGTCCATTTTAAAACATCACATAGGTTGTTTTTTGTTTGTTTGTTTGCTTGTTTTGGTAAAGATCAGTAATTGTATTACTATAGGGAATGTAGGTGTGCAACCTCCCTCCTCTGATGCTGATTGGTAACTTAAGAATCTTCAAGAGTAGCTTGGAACACTAAAGTGTTAAGTGACTTGCCTAGGGTCACATAGTATGTGTCAGAGGCAGTATTTGAATCCAAATTTTCCTGGCTCTAAGGACATCCCTCAGACTGTTATGTCACACTGCCTATCAAATGGTTATATACTACAAAAGAGTATACACATAAAATATACTGTAAAACACATAGAAACATTGTAACATAGAAAAGAAGCAGTTGATTCATTTAAAAGAAAGTTATTAGAATGTATTTTCTAAGTCCTTACCAAAGGAAATATTTTCTAAAAAGTGAAGATGTATTAATTACCTGAAATATTTTACATATTTCTATTCTTTGCAAAACATTTTAAAGAAACAGATGATACCCTAAAAATAGAAAAGTATAGAAAGCATGAATGAAATTTGAGTATGTGCTTACCAGCTCAACAAAGGCAAGTCCTCCATAGCTGTGAGCAACAAAAAATGTGTTCTCAGCTGCAGAATGAGTTATAAAGTGATCCCATACATAGATTAAATGTTCTTCAGGACAGCCATTGTCCTAAAGAGGGAATATGGATATGATTACAGATGATGTCCAATTATTAACACAGTATTCTAAAAGTAAGCGTATGTTAATCTAATTATTTATTTATACATATCATTCAAAGAAAGTATAAATATACTTATTGTAGAATAAGAAAATTCTAAGTAAAAGAAAACAACAGGTGTTTGGAGCAAATGTAATCGATTTATCATCTCATGGCATAAAATGTGATAGTTGTAATCCATTCAAAACTATAATGATAAAATAAACAAATGTTAAAATTCAAATAAAAGGATTGTTTAATTTTGCCTAAGCGGGTTTTTTTTTTAATTTTAAGCTCTTTCAGCTATTATTAGTTATTTAGGGCCTCTCTCTTTTACAAAACAGAGCATTCTATTCAATTACTACATGGATCCATTTTTCCAGCCCCATGCCAAAGTTTGAGAAAATAACAGTTACATTGGTGAGGAAATTTGTAGCAGTCTTTTAAAGTACATAGAATTTTAAAGCATGAGTCAAGAGAAAATGGTATTCCTGATATATAGTATTTCAAAGAAATTTCATAGCAATTATTAATTTTTTGCCCAAACTTTCCTATGATAAATTAGCTTAACATTATAAGTTTAGCAATATTTCTACTTTGCCATCTAAAAAAGGGTTTTTTTTTTAACTTCGTTGAAGATTACATGATTGGTATATATTTCATTTTGATTATTTTAAAAATAATATTCTTTTTTTCTTCAATAATTTTCTAAATGGAACTTCCTGTATAAAAAGGTGGAAGCCCACACATATCAATTTAGGGATTTATAATTCCCTCCCTTAGCTCAATGCCATGTAAAATATTTATTTTAATATGGGAGTTTTCTATAATATGATTTTCTTATTGTTATTTCAACTTTAATGCATTCCATTTTTACATTTTATGATTATCACACCAAATTGGGTAATATAGCAAAGAACTTGTTAATAGTTAACTTTTTAAAATTGCCAAGAACTGAAATTAAACACGATGAAATTATGTTCTAATATTATCTGGGTAACTTTAAAATTAACTAACTAAAAAAATGAACTGTTGATTTCCTGGATGTATTTTATTTGGCATCAGTCACCTCTGGAATGTAGATGTGACATACTTTAAAAAAAAAACTTTGAATTTTCGGTAGAGCACATATGCAGTGTTCTATCTATAAACAGAGTGATTAGCCTTTTCAAATGCAAAAAAGGTTATTAAAAATGAAATATGAAGCTTATTTAAATAATGCTTGAAGGTTTATGTAATACTTCTGGCATAATACCTCTGTTAAGTATTATATTATTACTACCATTTTACTGAAGAAGGAATACAAAAATAAAACAGATCCTGTCCTCAAGTAGCTTACATTTTATTTAGAAGGACAATAATATGTGTATATATGTATATATACACACAAAATATATAAATACATATTATATATATACACACAAAATAAATATAAGGCAATTCACAAGGAGAGGGAATTAGCAGATGGGCACAAGAAAGGCCTCATGTACAAGACATAATAAATACAAATATTAAGTTATCTATTGGTATAAAAGCCCATACATGACATAATAAAAAAAATACATTAAAAGGTACTTAAGAATTTGATTTTGGGAAGTTAAAGAACAGCAGAGAAAACCAGTAGAGCCCATTAGAATCCCTTTCCACCTAAGCAGACTATGTTTATCTGAAGCAATTGTTAGCAATCCTTTAAATGGCTTTAAAAAATCTGAAATGTTTTTGTGGATTTGAGCAGAACCTCAAATTTATGATCCTGCAGCCATAAGGGACCTTAAGGATCCACTAGCCAGGACCACTCATTTTACAGATGACAAAAATGTGGCTTAGAGAAACGAAATGCCTCGCTCAGGGTCATAAAGGTATTAAGTAGCAAAACTGGGATTGAAATCCAGGTCTTTTCATTCCAAATCCAGCCCTCTTTTCATGGGACTATCTCACATAGCAATTTGATAGCACAGTCAGTAATTAATTAAAGGCTCTAATTAATAAGAACTAATAGTAGGATCTGTTATGTTAAAGTATAGATCAACGTGACTTATAGGTTGGATATATTCCTAAAAATCTGTGTCTATGTATAAAGAGAATTTTAGAGACACATCAATATATTTTTAATATAAAAAACAGAACATCTCAAAAATGACAGTCTGGTGAAATCTTATTAAGGGCCAAAAAGTCTTTCTTATATAACTCAATTATCTCTGAAGATACTATAGTATTAAAACAGTATAATAATTGATGTTCATAATGATGACCTAGCATTGTTAAATTATGTATTTTAAAAAGGCAGGGAAATGTGTAATATCTAAAATGCCTTAATTTTTTATTATAAGTTTTGATAACTGAGATAAAGCCTCAGCTATCTGAAAAACCTAAAGAACTATAAAGTTCCATTCCCTCGGAGATTCTATTTTTATTCCATTTTATTTATTCTACTTACACTTCAGTATGAATCAATTAAGTTTGTCCTTCTAAGAGGTCATTATTTTTCTATTTTGCCAACTCCAACAATTAAATATTTTAAACAGGTCTTTGAAGAGCTTTATAATTATTCATCAATGTAGAACACAATTTTAAATTTTACACCTCTCAAATCTGGTTTACACTTTTAAATTTCACATCTCTTGTTCTGAGAACAAAAATACATAAAGCATTTATCTAGGTGTATATATGTATTAAAGTATTCATATATATTTAAATCAACACTACCACTGCACTAGAAAGACAGTCTATGCCTCCACAGCCTTGGTAACTCCCTGATGTGGACACCATTCTACAAGAGTGTTATATCCCCCTATTAGAATGTAAGGTACTGAAGGGTAACATAAATCTCACTTTTGTATTTGTACTCCTAGCACAGTGCCTAGTAGGTGCTTAATAAATGCTGGCTAACTGCCTGTTATGTCCTCATGATATGCAGGTGTTATCAAAGGGTCTATGCTCACTGAATGTAAGCCATGGTGCTAATAAGCTTTTAAGACTTGAACTATCGGCCAAGTTATGGACAGAATGTCTGTTGTCCTAGCACTGGCCTAATTAAGTTCAGAAAGGTTCATCACCAGGTTGGCCAGAAAATGATTTTTTTTTTTTGCAACAGTAAGACTTGAAAAAACAATTATCTACTAAGTCTTAGAGGGGATGGGATTTGCATCAGTGGATGAGACACCCACACTGACAAAAAGAAAATCAATATTATTAAATTATTACCAGAAAAATTCTTCTGACAAAAATAGACTCCAATATAGGAAAATCCATAACTTGCTTACAACAAAAATGTAAAATCCACTGTTTAAGGATTGCATATGGATTTCATTTCCAAGATGATTTTATTTTGATTAACTTTGTATCTAAAGCTAGATTATTTCAGAATAATTCAATGCAATTGGTATACAAAATATAAATAATATTAAGTAGTCTAAGCCATTGGGGCATCCTGATAGCAAAATGCATGGAGGATTTAAAAGAGTAGAATTCTGATGCCTTCAGAGGACAGGTTGAATTTTCTAATGTATGATTGTCATCATTAACGGTTAAATATCGAGCAGAAGTGATGCAGTAACCAAAGCCTTATCAACTCTACCAGATTCTAACACAGAGGCATTGCAAGGTCTGCATTTATGATGGACTACCTGAGCTGATAACACATGAAATTATCTAAACAACATTTGCATATTTGTGTAATTATTTTCTAAGGTTAATTAGCTCCTGTAAAGCAGTCCGCCCTTTGAGACTGCTTTCGGTGACAGGTTCACATATTTTTTTGAACCAATGCCAAATTTGACAGATTTTCTTCTGCTAACTTGTTGCTGGAAAGTTATAAAATGACTAGTGCCACAATACTTTATATGCCTGTTTAAATTTCTAATTGATTTAAAAAAAATTAAAATGAAACCAAAATCAATTTAAATTTTTCTTTCTGTACCCATTTTTAAAGCTGGAATTCCAAGATTACTTCCCCTGCAGAATTATCTATGTTTAAAGGAAGACTGGTAGCCTAATAATTAACAAAGCTTATTTATGTATAAAGAAATCTGAGGCTGACACTTCCATGGCTCCAGACCAGAGGGCATCTGTTTAATTGTGTCACTAATTTTCAGTTACATCCTGCAAGAAGTTCATTACTGTTCCATTCGTTTCCTCATTTTTAATCGTATGTTTTTTAGATTCAAAGTAGAGGACCAGGGAATGATTACTCCTAGTTAAACACAGGAAAGAAATACCTTTTAGGTCTATCAGAATAATGAAAAGTTAAAGTCAAAGTATAACCACTTAATCATTAGGTATAAAGGCAGGAAAAATGATTGCTTCCTGATTCTTATAAGATGATCTTACCAAACTGCATTGGGATAGGAGGAATAAAAGGTTGTGAGGAAATCTGAAATTGTCATGGTAGCATAGATTTAGAAATGGTAGGAATCTTAGAAGTCAAAAGGTCACACCTCTTCATTCTACAAAAGAGGAAAACTGAGGCCCAGAAAGGTTAAGAGACTTGTCCCGAGTCAGTTACTAAATATCTGAGGTGGGATTTGGACCAGGTCTTTCTGGTTCCATGCTGTTTCTTATTTTTTAACTACATTTTGAAACTTTAGTTGATTTAATCTGGGGTACTTGATCAACACAACTGACCTAATACCATACCATCCCCCACAGTGAATTATTTTCTTATGTAGGACTAAATTACAGAATGAGAGGGTACATAAAAGGGTATGGTGAGGGAGAGAACATAAATAAAATCTGAGGTACCCAATTAAGTCCACAGTGATCAATAAAAGGAAGATAACTAAGATAATATCTCAGAAAGAAGTGGGGCCATAGGACAATGAGTGAGTTAGCAAAGGAAAAGAAAGCAGTGGTAGGAACAGTTTCCCTGAAAAAACATTTCCATGGGGGTTAGGAGTTGGCGTGAGGAAGGGAAGAAACATTTTGGAATAAGAGATGGGAAACTTAGAATGGATCTAATTTACAAGGATTTAGT